ATCCATGCATATAATTAACCAAATTTGCATAATGATTTGTCAATTTTCGGCTTTTCCACTGATATCTCAGGGTACTAATCATCACATTTCAATGAAACCTACATAGATATATAGGAATTGTTCTACACTGACAGATATGTGAAATATTAATTACCTAATTTGCATAATTAATTAATTTTCAGCTTTTGATATTTCAAGTGTATTATTACCTTTCAATGAAACTTGGTAAATATATGCTCTAGAAAATCCAAAGACCTGATTAATTTTAAGTAAAAATGTATTAATCAACTAATTTGCGTAATTAGGTAATTTTTGGCTTTTACTCTGATATCGCAAGTACTAATTATCCCATTTCAATGAATCTTGGTACATAGATGTTCTAGGACAATGCACAGACCTGATTAGTTTTGGGTTAAAATCAATGCATATTAATTACCTAATTTGTATAATTAGCCAATTTTCAGCATTTACACTGATATCACATGTACTAGTTATTCCATTTCAATGAAACTTGATACATTGTATATTGATGCTCCAGAACAATGCACAGTCCCGCTTAGTTTGGGATTAAAATCAGATCATATTAAGGTATAGATGCATGTTCGTGGGCACTAGGAGTGAATTTTTTTTTGCTTTTGTTACCCAGACAGTCTTGGCTAGATAGTGTTGAAATTTCGGAGCATTGTCAATGCTGGAACATGCCCAAAAATGGATTTTAAAATATAGGGAATCGAGGCACGCGTATGTGATTAAAAGTCCCGAAAGTTTGTTTACGTTGCTCTTTGATTGACAAGTCACGGTTGATGTTAAATGCAAATGAGTTGCTGGCCTCAGTTATGGTGCGCGATGTGTAACCTCCTGTCCGCGACCCTGTTTAACTTACCTCAAGCGCTACCAACTAGTCTTGCAAACTACAAAAAAAAAAAGACAATACGTAGACGCTTCCAGCATGCAACGGAATACAAAAAGCATACAGTTGTAAATGATAAGTAAGCTTTTTCACCCTTATCTCGCAACATGTCGACAACTTCTAGCCTGGCAGCTTCCAGTGGAGTACTGTTAAATATTTTTTTTTCACGCATTTTTTTTCTCCGAAGGCATTATAAAACTGACTATTAAATTGTCGTTTCGCTGTAACGATCACTGTGCTGATAGCATTGCGATGTAGTCGTGGATAAACACCATTCAGACCATTGATGTGCTGTCATCGATAACAAACTTTTCAGTGGCAAAATACACAAACGTGAAATGCTCGGTTACTTAAAAATAAAAAATAACCCGAAAATTACAGAAACATCGGCAACGAGATGCTTTAAACACCGCGGAAAAATCACGCACTCTGCGATGCCATCTTCGTTACCTTCATCGGAAACCCCCTTGTCAGCGAGCATGCATCTGTAGCGATGTCGCAAAGTACGTTGTATGGCCGTGCTCGGCGACCTCTGGTACTATGGCACTCTATGAATGAGGTATTTCCAGAGGTCAGGGTTCGTTTTAATTTTTATCGACCCATCGCGTCTGCTCGTAGTTGAATGAAACCTGTTTCGATTTACAATAGTTGTCTTTCATTTCAACTTTTTCTCACCGGCGATTGAGTACAAAAACTGTGAATAGTCGTTGTGTAGCAAAATATTACGACCCATTTCAACCTGGCCGTCTAACTTCGCATGATCCATTTCACCGGAGATCGTGAAAAACTGCGTCATACAGAGTATTTGTTAAAGGTTTGAGGAAAGGTAAATTTAGACTCAACCCACCCAATGGGGATCGCTATGTTTGTATAACTGTATGAATATCTCATCGGCTTTACGTAATCCATTGTGCCCCTCCCTAAGTGGAAAAGATAAGACGAC